GAGCCTCGGAGACTACCTGCAGGTGTTCCTTTCTACAACAGGACATGGAGGAGTTGGTGGACCAGGGGCTGGTGAAAGCCATTGGCATCTCCAACTTCAACCACTTCCAGATCGAGAGGCTCTTGAATAAACCTGGACTAAAACACAAACCAGTGACTAACCAGGTATGTTCCGTTTCATAAACATTTGGAGGCAAGTTCAGTCTTATGTTTGGAGTCTCCTCTCAGGGAAATGTGATGAGATGCTTTGAGGAGGTATGAGATGGCCCATAGTGTCCAGCATCCAAGTGTATCAGAGGGTAGAGTTTGGTCTGTGCTTGGTGGTCTTCTTGTGTGTACAACTTCTCATGGGCTGCTTCAAACTCAGGCCAGCTTCCTAGTGATGGGGGTTCTTTGGTTTTGCAGATCGAGTGTCACCCATACCTCACGCAGGAGAAGTTGATCCAGTACTGCCAGTCCAAGGGCATCGCAGTCACTGCCTACAGCCCCCTGGGCTCCCCGGACAGACCTTGGTGAGGCTCCTTAGGGCTCTTTCTCTTGATGCCTTTAAAAAACGAGTGCTGACTGGTTAGTGTTGGTATGAGTCTATAAACCACTGAATCGAATAATATGTCTAAGTTAATGAATTTGATGAGATTATAGTGAATTTCATTAGGGTGCTTTTCAATAGCAACTTGCCTGCCCCTCTACAAATATTCAGGTTCAGCCACCCAGAGCAGAACCACCTTTGTATAACACAAGATTCAAAGCTCATGGTGGTCCCACGGGTCAGACAAGACCTTCTGATGCTCCAGCACATCTCACATGGCGACTTGGAGGAACAGCCTAAGGGCCATCATCCTGGGAGGGATGCTCATCTACAGACAGTAACCACGGTGATTATTCTCACGTGACCGCCATCTTTCTTTCTCTAGGGCCAAACCAGGAGACCCTTCACTGCTGGAGGACCCCAAGATTAAACAGATTGCTGCAAAGTATAACAAAACCCCAGCCCAGGTACATCTTCATTAATTTCTTGCCTAACAATCCAGAGCCCTATGTTTCCTTCCTTGTGTTGTCTTCACTTCATTCCTTGAAAGGGAAGAATAGAGTCGAGGGAGTTTAGCTAGGTCCTTCCTGTAAGTCCTGTTATCACTGAGACCAGGATGGTCCCTTCCCAGCAGCTTCCTATGAGTCCACTCACACAGCAAAGAGAGTTGCTTTAATGGCAGAAATCTGAGTTAAGATCCAGCTCTATCATGTGCCACCTTGGGGCCCAACATTGCTCTAGCCATCATCTTATATTCTAATAAAAATATAGAACCTGCCTTATTGGGTTTCTGCAAGGAATCTGGATTCTGTCCAGTAGGGATATGTCTGACAGGAATGCACAATTTTCGAAGGCACAGGAGGCTGAAGGGCAGTTTCTTTATCCTTTAGTGGAGGGAGGGTTCTGGTGGTGAGTGGAACACTATCTCCGTCATGTGCAGGTTCTGATCCGGTTCCATGTTCAGAGGAATGTGGTTGCGATCCCCAAGTCTGTGACCCCGAAACGCATTGCAGAGAACTTGCAGGTAGGAGCCCACTGGTGGGATCTGGTTTTCCTCAGTGGAAGAGGTTAAGGGGGGGCCCTTTAGCAGGCTCTCCTCATCCCTTTCCTGTATAGTCGACAAACCCCACCCATGCTCACCCCCCTATACCTGGCAGACCAGGGGACTGACCCCAGTAAAAGCTAAGGTAGATGACCCATGGGCTATCAATGCTGTAGCTCCTGTCTCACCTGGCAGGTGTGAGCACAGCTGTGCCTCTTCCCCCTGAGGAGACACTTGGCTGTCCTTGAGCATCACCTCATGAGTGCAGCATAGCAGACTCTCCTGGCTTCACACCATCTAGCACCTGCCAGCATGCACTTTTCTGCATCTACTGATATGGCCACATACATTTTCTTTGTTAGCCTGTAGAAATGATGACTTACACTATATGTTTAGTCAGACATGCATACTTGAGATAAATACAGCTTGATTGTGGTGTATAATTCTTTTTATACTTTATTGGATTCAATTTGCTAAGATTTATTGGACCTAATTTAAAGTAATCCTGATGTGGCACTGTCGGATAAACACTGGACTGCTAACCACAAGATCAGTGGTTCAAACCCACCAGCACCTCCTTGGAAACCCTATTCAGGGCTGCTACAAATCAGCGCTGACTCAATGGCACTTAACAACAAGAACAATTTAAAGAAAATTTTCTGCCCAGTGGGACATCCGGTGTTGTGAATATGAGTTCTTTCCCTGCCGGAATGGGACCCCAGGGATTGACGTGAACTCCATCCTTTTTAGGTCTTTGATTTCCAGTTAAGTGATGAGGAGATGACGACTATACTCAGTTTCAACCGGAACTGGAGGGCCTGCACCATAACGGAGTAAGTACTCTGGGTCCTTGAACTACGGGGAATGTCAGGGTTCCTCTAAACTGCTAGAGGGTCAACTGGAAGGCTCAGATGGAGGCTGGGACTACTTTTGTCTTCAAATACTATCTTCTAGCAATTTTGAAAATTAAGATTGGAGACCATGGTGAGAATCATTATGAGGAAAGACATATTTCTAATTGTTGCTCATTGTCTGAACTTCTGGAATTCATCAAGATAATACTTGGAAGGCACGTAGTGCAGGACTTAGCTCCAGGCTTATTAGCCATTAGACCAGCTGCCACGGCATTGATTTGGACTCATGGTGACCCCAGGTGTGTCAGAGTAGAGCTATGATGCGTAGGGATTTCCAATGGATGTGACCTTTCCAAAGTAGATCACCAGGAAACTCTTCCAACATGTCTCTGAGTGGATTCCAACTGTCAACTTTGGGGTTTATTCTGGTGCCCTAGATGTTGCCCTCCTTCCCAGCACACCCTCAGATCAGTTTAAGGGCAGGCAGTGGTGTGGGCACCCACTCTATGTTCTCTCAGAATCTTGGGGAAGGTTGAGAGAGAAGGAAGAGAAAGGATGCCCAGGAGAAGAATGCCCTGTACACCTACATTGTGACTTGTGGAACATGTTCTTCTTCACAGTTGTCCTCTCTCATTCTCTCTGCAGACTGGCCCATTTGAAGGATTATCCTTTCGATGCAGAGTACTGATGGTGGGCCTTCAGGTTTCAGAGGAGATTACCTAGGGGGTTCTCTCACTTCACTTTCCTAAATTTTAACTCTATGACATGAGCCCTACTTCAATCAGGCTGATCTGGAATCACGTGAAGCTCAGCATTGACCCGTCAGGACCTGGGCTGCATCAACTCAAGCTTGATGTGTTCAACGAAGAGCTGAGAATTATAGACAAGCAGTACTCAGACAAACAAGCGCCATGTCCCTCCCCCACCCCCCATCACCTATTTGGTCAAATGTGTGTTAAACATAAAAAGCTCTGTTAACATTGAGATTACAAAGATAAAAAGAATAAAGAAGAAGAATACTAACCAACATGTTATAAGAATTTTCTTTATATCAGGACTATTATGCAAGGTGTTTTTCATGTGTCGTGACTCATTGAATAGCCCAACAACCCCTTTGAGGTGGACGTTGTTGTTGTTAAGTACTGTGGAGTCGGTTCTGACTTATAGTGACCCTGTACAGGGTTTCTGAGGCTATAAATCTTTACGGGAGCAGAACACCTCATCTTTCTCCCGCGGAACAGCTGGTAGTTTTGAACTGCTGACTTTGAGGTTGGCAGCCCGACTTGTGTTGTTAAACACCGTCGAGTTGGTTACAACTCATCACAAGCCTGTATAGGATTTCTGAGTGGTGGTTCATGGGTCTGAACTGCTGATCTTGTGGTTACCAGTCCAATACTGACCCTACAGCACCACCCCAGGAGTCTTGAGATGGTAGGCACTCTTATTTCCATTTTTTAAAAATTTATCATATTTTTAAATTTTATTTTAAGGTTTTTATTGTGAAAGTGTATAGGGCAGATCATCAGTTTTACATTCAACAAATCATATACCT